GAATTGTTAACTATTCCTATCTCTGTTATAATTTTGTGAATTTTCATCTTTAAATTCATGAATTTGTCGAAGTTTGTGGGCTTGTTCTAGCCAAGTTATCGGATCAGCGGGACTTTGAACAATCATCAAAGACTTTAAGTTCGTTGGCAAACCATCTGTCAAACCTTCTAAAATAATTGATTTATCCAAATTAAGACGCTTACCCACTTCAATTTTCATTCGAGAGTAATTTGTGATGTCTTCTGTCTGGCGTTATATTTTAAATTAGCGAAGTCGCCGAAAGTAGTTAAGGTGGGATCGATAAAGTTTTCTTTTAATATTTGTCCAAATTCTGAGTAAGATTTTAGCTCATGACAATTTTTAATATAGAGCCAGAAGGCTTTTCCCTTAATGTAACGAGACATATTTTGAAGTTTCCAATTTTCGTCCTTATTTTGGCAGACTTTGTTAAAATAACCTAACCAAGAAATTATGTCACTGTCCTTAGAATCTTCAAATGGAATAATATTTAAATCTATTGTATCTTGATTCACGTTCAGTGAATCGTCAAGATTAACGGGTTCCGGATTTGTCGACATTGTAATTGAAACTTTAAAACTTTCTTGAAAATAAAATTTTGCACTTTTCTCAAAATATTTTTTTTAAACCAAAAACTCTTCAGAGTATTATCAACACTTCACAGAATAATAGACTTAAATAAAAATTTTGTTTTCTCAAATTTTATGATTATCACTACACATTTCAGGATAATACCAAATCTTACTTAGAATACTATTAATTAGAATAAGACTTGAAATTTAAATAAACTCGTAATTACTTTAACATATTTAAAACAAACTATTGTCGTAGCAACTTAATTCACACACTGAGAAAAAATAATTTCATAAAATATGTTCTTACTTGGCTGTTGAGTACACTATTTAATCCTCCTGCTCGTTTGTGTGCTGTTAAAAAAAAATAAAAAAAAAAACACAGCATAAAAAAATTTAAATTCTTCAGCTTTTCCAGCAGACAATATCTAAATCATGCCATTCTAACTATGAGACGCGCTCAAAATGCGACAACAAAGCTGTATCACAATTCACAATTCTTCAATTGAAAAAAAAAAAAAGCATAAATGATTGAAATTCTTCAGCTTCTTTCCAGCAGACGATATCCAAATCATGCGGTTCTAACTATGAGACGCGCCCAAAATGCGACAACAAAGCTGTATCACAATTCACAAATCTTCAATTGAAAAAAAAAAAAAAAAAAAAAAAAAAAAAAAAAAAAAAACACAGCATAGATGGTTGAAATTTTTCAGTTTCTTTCCAGCAGACGAATCTAAATCATGCGGTTCTAACTATGAGACGCGCTCAAAATTCGAAGACAAAGCTGTATCACAATCCATAATTCTTCAGTTGTAAAAAACAGACACAACTTGCACTTGAAAGTTCTTTCTCTTCCATTGGAATTTCTTTCCTTTTGGGTACACCCATCCTGCCGACTCCTTGTGATGTACCAGCTTTTGTCCGGAATAAATAGACTGGTGAAGAATCATAAATGTAGTCGTAGCTTAAATTATCAGACGATAAGTTTAAAAAAAAAACAGGATCCATTTATTATATTTCAGGGGAAATAGCAATTACAAAAATCAAGATCTCCGGAGTAAATAAAAAAGAATTATTAATAATTTTTTGTATGAAGTTTACTACATCGTGACATTTAAGAAAAGCCCCGATATTCTTTTGCGAGTCCTTTTATAGCTTCTGGAAAAGCGGACCTTCCAAGAAATGACGTCAGCCAATCCAGTTCGCTTTAAATATTTCCAGAACATTCTATAACTGCACGTGTAGAAAAGGCGGGAAAAACAACTTGACTACGGGGCTGTGGATTTAATTCCACGTACTTTCAAATAAGAGACCGTCGCCATTAAAAATTAAAGGAACATACAGTTAGAATTTTAAGTGTATTCTTGACTACGGAATTTTATTATTACAAATATATATAATTCTTTTTTATTTACTCCGGATATCTGATTTTGTAACTGCTATTTCTCCTGAATGGATTCTGTTTTTTAAACTTATCGTCTGATAATTTAAGTTACGACTACATCTATGATTCTTCACCAATCTATTTATTTCGGACAAAAGCTGGTACATCACATATATATATAAAACTAAAAAACTATATATATATATAAATGCTTTTCCACTCGAAATAAAAAAAATAAATTAATTGGGAAAAAAAAAAAAAAAAAAAAAAAAAAAAAAAAAACCTAAAAGTTTTCAGATTTTACATTACTCCCAAAGCGGAGTTTTTTAACGTTTTGTGTGTTACCTTCATTCATCAAATATCATATTCTTCGCACTTAAACCATAAAATTCAGTTCAAGAGCAATATCGCAAAATAGTTTTAAAATGAGCCTATCTTTAGAATTTCCGATACACAGTCTCGGGTGCCGGTGGTAAAAATGTTTTTCCCCCGTAAAGTGTTGCCATTGCTAGCTTTGAAATCACTGAGTTTGTTAATCATGAATGCTTTACAAAGTATAAAATAGATAATAAGACACTTTCTGGTTTCTAGATGCCCATATTCGGAGGAGGATTACGTTATTCAAAATTAGATGGCTCTAGGTATCGTTGTTTTATCACAATGTGAGAAACATACATACACTCAAGCATATTTTTCATTATTTAATTTCTTTAAATATAACACTGGGCGATAATATTCGGTGGCAGCAGTTTGAAAAGTGAATCAACACAAAATGCCAAAACAAAATTAATAGTCCTTCTGAGCTAAAAATAATTTGAAAGGTTTCAGATTTTAACTGTCATCCAAAAGAATTTGTTAAGGATTTTTACGCTCTTGGCTGAGCTCGCAACGGTGATCGTGCGAGGTGCTTGCAACAATTGCATCATGCGGTGGTATCTACCAATCTGCTCTTGCTAATCCATATTTTGTTTGTCTTTTTAGCTAACATGATTGTGTTGGAAGAAATTGGGTGGTGGGGTTTAAATAAATGCTTGGAGGATAAGGTTATAAATTTACTTCCAGTCAATTGAAATGAATTAACTAATACCTTGACTAGTTTTATTAAGGGGCTATTAATTATTAAGCATCATTTTCTCTGTACTTGTGCTACATACAATTCAAAGCAAAATCCCAACTTTTAAAGCAGCACTATTACTTCATATGTTTATCTATTACTCCATATGTTTACAATGTCCGATGCAGTGTTTTAAGTGTTGGCATAAATTTTTCTTTTTCAGTCTTTTCTCAGTTCATTATATCAATGTTCAGTTTTCTTAGTAAGATGGCTTGCAATTTTTTTTATTATATATACACTGTAAGGTATGTTATTTAAGCAATTATTTTATGTTTTGGATCCTTCAATTTTGCATTCTAATTGCTGATAGTTGAATATCCACATCAGTTAAGTTAGCCAACTTTGTGTTAATTTGATTAATGTGGCATTGGCTACTAGCTTATTTAAATTAAATTTTAACATTTCACTAACTGTAAATTATCTTGCTATAAGTGGTTGGTTGAATTATAAGCACCAAGTGTGCCTAGTGTTTTAATTTAATTCTTAAATAAAGGGTTTTTTACACCCTTCTCAAATTTGAATTGTTACTTACAGATAATTCGCTGCCAGTCTATCTTAAATTTAGTTATAGTTTATGATCGCAAAGATTTCTAAACTTTATTACACTTATTAAGAAATGTTAAACTTAAAAATAACATGGTCCTTTACCCTATTATCTATATTTCAAATGTTCTTTAGCTACATGTGGCTGGTAGTCACTGTACTGACAAGAAGATGTGTCATAGTAAATGTTGCAGTATTTGAAAAGCAATCATCAATGTAATACAAAAACTATTTACAGTTTTTCGATATAAAGCTTTAGTATGCAGATAATAAAATTGAAATTTCTATTACTCCATTTTCGTTTAGCAAAACATTTTGGCCATTTTTCAGGAATATAGGTGTTGTACTACCTGAAAGATTCTACAAACATATTTTAAAGTAAACAAAAATTTAAAAACACAACTAATTTGAAAAGAATTATGGACTTACCAAAAAATTTAAAGTTAATTTGTACACTATATAGTAAAAATCATTTTCCATTAGTGCTTCTTTCTTTTAAAACGTCATTTCTTGGAAGGTCCGCTTTTCCAGAAGCTATAAAAGGACTCGCAAAAGAATATCAGGGCTTTTCTTAAATCTTCTTTCTTCTTTCCTTAAAACACTATTGAATATAAATAAAACAATATTTAGCAGTTAATTTGTAAACTATGTACACATTATTTGTGCTTTTTAACCCAATTAATTACAAGGCATAATTTCTTTGTGCTTTTTAACCCAAAATGATGGATGTGATGTCACAAGACAGATTTAACATCTTTAGAATAATAATTATGAAAATGGCAACACCAAATTGCATAGCAAGAGTAGGTGTTGCATGCACCTTCAAGATTTAAAATGATCCACACCCAATTCTACTTCTGTTCAGGGATTTATTATCTCAGATTATTTTCATGTTACAGCCTTAGCATTATTCTGTCTTTTAACTGGCCTTAAATACCTACCAGTTTTACATTAGAACCACAAATTCTCTAATGCGTTTTCTTTGTGACTGTGGACAACTCATATATATCAAGAACATTTGAAAATCTTCTCTGTATATAATAATTTTAATTCCTTTACCCTGGAGATATTGGGAGGTAAGAAAGCTATTCCAAGTGTCAAAACCTTTAAAACATCTTTAAACAAATTGTAATATCCTATATTTCTACATGCTAGACTTTTTTTTAACAAAGTTGAAATGATCCTGTAGAGATTTTAGCTTTAATAGCTCCATAATAAATCTACACACATATTAAAACAATTTTTTAAACAGATTTTGTGAGATAGGCCATCAAGCATTAACATTGATTATGAGAAACTTTCCACATATTTATGTAATGACAATGGTGTTTTTTCCAGCATCAAATGAACTGAATGTTCAAAACACACACACACACAAAATTTTTTTTTTATTTACAATTTCCTTTTTTTACATACAAAAGCTCTTTTTTATGCACATTTCAAGACTCCTTAGACAATCTTGGACACTTTACTTAATCTCCGAGACCCAGTTTTTGATGGCTGGAAGTAGATACTTCCCAAGTTCTTCATCCTAAAACAAGACAAATATTTAATATAAATAAAAATAACAAAAATGTACTTAAATATTTCTATTACTTCTGAACATGTATTTTTACACTCTGTGGCAGTGGTGACTGCCTAATAAAAAATTTTCAAATGAACTGACCCAGATATTATTTTCAGGGAAAAAAAATGAAAATTTTAAAATCCATCCAGAGAATATGAAAGAAATTGTTTACACATTTTTATATTTTTGCACTATTTAACATACAATTTGTTAAATGATTCTTGTTTTAATATTACATATAGTGTTCAGAAAATGAAATATATATTTAATCTTGTGTTAAATTTGAGAAATCATTTTAGCAAATGCGCTAGATATTTAATAATGCGATTCTTATTCTGTACTAAACATATTACAGACGTTAAAAATACTTGCAATTTATAAACTTTCTTTTACATTTTAGTACAATTAATATTAAAAAACTAAGAAAAATACATATTTAGATTTTTGGTGATACTCAATTACTATACAGTTAATAAATAATACAGTTTCATAAAATAAAATTACATCTTAATATGAATACCTTATAATATAAATGGTTTGCATTATTCTGAAGTTAAAATAAATTTTAAAAAACAAAATTATTTTGAAATATCTTAAAATCTTCTTTTCTCTGCAATAGTTCTATGCTTCTTTCTGACAACGAGCTGTTTTTGCCTCAATATTAAAGTGCTAGTACATGCATTGTTTTTCTGCTGTTCAGGATACAACGATATTATCTCAGAGTTGTTTAGACCATATTATATATGAGAAATTCTGTGTGACTTTCAGTGTTTTGGCACAGTATTTATAAATTTATAAATATATTATAGGAAAAACAGTGCAATACATTTACAGGTTTATCTCAGATAAATTCAATATTATGAATTTGGATTTCACTGCATAGCAATTTCTTCTAACAAAATATGCAGCTAATCATTCATAAAATGCTATTTGTTTACATCTGTATATTAAAATATCTTTATATATATAAGCAGCTTAAGTGTTTGTTGTGGATAGTTTATTGTTGCCACTCGGAAAAATGAGCGTGGAAATTAACGTTTCCACAGTTTTTAATTAATATCTTGGCCGCTTAAAGTTGAACGAAGATGAGAACGGTATCGATGGATTTGGAGAATTTTTCGGGATCCGAGGATATGCGTCTCGAATTTCAACTCGGCGACATTCTGTAAACCAAGGATGTCAAACTCGCGGCCCGCGGGCCGCATGCTGCCCACAACAAATATTTTTGCGGCCTGGCCAATATATCGGCAAATAATAATATATAATAATAAAATAACATATCGACGAAGGAAAAAATGAAATGTTTACTGCTAAGTAATTAACGATAATTTATTCAGTGTTGTTAGATTACTCACAGCGAGCTGACACACACACTACTTAAATTACAAATGCGTGTGAGTAGCTTGCGTTCAGCTACCTTCGGCTTTTGGGGGACACGTGCACTCAGAACTTGTACGCATCCCCCGATAGCCGAATGTGGCCGAACTCATGGTCTCAGTTTTCCAATCATAGTTTTGTACGATATATTGGTGCATGCACTTTGCTTTATTATTAATTATTACTTAATTCATATTGTTACGGATTTCATAGTTATTTATTTAGTTTAGTTTTTTTATTTAGAATTGTAATTAGATTTGCTTCATGTTGCCTTAGCAACGCAGACGATTTTTGAAAAGACAGCTGCGTTGGAAGGTTAAAAATAGAACAGCGCGTGCATTTAATACCTAATAAATAAATATCTCGTAATTGCTGTTGCCATCCACAAAAATCCAGATATTTATAGATGTTTCCAGTATATTCGAGAAATTAATTATAAAGCTTATAAAAGCCGAGAACAAACAACTCATCTCAGTAGTAGCTGTAGTTCTAGCGAACTGTTTGTTTACTTAATGCTGTGATTGATTTGTAGCGATTTCGCTGTGAGATAGAATTAGTTTCTCTGTTTTGAATTGATTTTTGCTAAACGTTTGACATTTTGTGATATTGTTAGAATATTTTTGAAGAAATATTTCAGCATTTTGATTTATCTCTTGTGGAAAGAATAAATTTTTGTTAACTTTTTAACGTTAACCGTGTTTATTCCAGCCCTTTGTATTCAGTATGTCTATATCAAAACCAAGTGGTAGTAAAATTAAACGAAAAATCGCTGACGAACATAGAATATTCCAAGTAAAATGGGAATTAGAATATTTTTGCTGTGAAATAAAAGATAAAATAATCTGCTTGATATGTAATAATACTATTAATGTACCAAAGTTATATAATATTAAACGTCATTACGAACAACACAAATCGAAATATAACAATTACGAAGGATTAATGAGAGAAGAAAAGTTGAAAGAGCTCAAGTTAGGAGTGAAAAAGCAACAGTCCATGTTTAGTAAAGTATTGCAAGAAAGTGATGCGGCGGTACATGCAAGCTACGTCTTGTCCGAGTTGATAGCTAAACATTTGAAGCCTTTTACTGATGGTGATTTCATCAAGGAATGCCTAATGAAAGCTGGAGAAATTGTTTGTCCTGGAAATGTGAAGGATTTTCAATCAATTTCATTGTCTCAAAATACAGTTGTGGAAAGAGTTACTGATTTAGCCGCGAATTTGGCGCAGCAAAATTTAAGAATTGCAGAGACTGCAATGGGCATCAAAATGTCTAATGCCAACTCCTTGAAGTGCCTATTCTAAAGTACTCATATAGGCTCCTTGAAGTGCCTATTCTAAAGTAAAAGGCTACAACTGGTTGCAAAAAATACATTTTAGCACTTTTTAGTAGTTATTCCCAATGCTCTATAAAAAAGACCCTCATTTATCAATAGTATTTCAAGCAAATTTCAAATTATAATTCTTTTGTATGCCAACACCTGCATCCAAAATTAAATTTAAATATATTGATGAAATTTTGTTGCAACTGTAAGTCTCTATCTATGTAATAAAATAACGTGCTGAAAAACAATACTCGGAGAAGTCAAAGCAACTAGAATCACTGTCTTAAATTCAAGGGATTAGTTTTGAAGGTAATGAATACAGAACCTTCTTTGTCAGCTGCCGAAGTACAAATGACAAAAGAGAAGCGAATGATACGAATGAGAGAAAGGTCGTCAAACCACTGCTGCCATCTATTGATAAAAAATGAAAATAACTATGAAATAATTTCCTTAAGTGCTGGGGGTAAATTATGAAATAATTTCCTTAAGTGCTGGGGGTAAATTATGAAATAATTTCCTTAAGTGGACTTAGAATCATTAAATAGAAATGAAACAATTTTATGAATGTGAAATGACTCTAGAAAATCTAATTCGTCAACGGAAGATGTTTCTTGAATGATTTTGGCTTCAAAAAATGGAAAATGTGATTTTTTGACTAACAGTGCTGGACAATAGGGATTTATGTGTTTCTTTTTCCCTAACATATGCCTCATGTTTCTTTACATTTTAAGGTTCTCTCAGTTTGACCAACGTGAATTAAACCACACTGGCAAAGAATCCTGTATATAGTCCAGGAGTTCATACCTGGAATGGGGTCCTTAAGTATGGAACTGCAAATTTTATTGCTAGAAAAGACAATAACCTGAAAGTTGAATTTCTGTAAAATAGATAGAAAGAAAGGAATGGCAACAGAATTCTTATATCCCTTAAAACAAGAGGGTGCTTTTTGATGTGGTAAGATGAGAATTTTTAACCGTTCGCTCAATAATGTTAGATGTAAAGCCTCTAGCAAAAGGAACTACTTTTAAGTCATTTAGTTCTGAGCCAGTTTAGAGGAGAAAACCTGAAGTGCATGGAAAAAAAAAAAGGAATAAAATGAAACAAGTTCCTGTTTAGTAAATAATAGTACTGAAGATGGATGTGTTGCATGTGACCAAAATGTTGAGGAACGGAAGACAACTGGATATCTCAAGTTCAAAAGTGAACTGAACAGCAGGATCAATGGAATTCATTATTGAAAGAACTTTATTTAAATTATCTTTATTACCATCAAACAGGGTAAATATATCAACCTAGCATTAACAAACAAAAAAATTTAAAATATCAAATAATTTTGATTCATAAGTAATGCATTTAGATATATGTTATGGTACGACTAAGAAGGCTTCCCAGATTGCAAAGATGGACTTAATAGCTAATACCCCAAATTCCTTATAACACTTATTTTGGAAAACAAAATGTGTTTGTTTCAGACACAGTTGAGCAAGAGATATTATCTCATCATTATTGAAACAGAAATGAAATTCTTGAAATCTCATTTCTAGTATCTTCCACTGGAACATTGGTGAATAATGATTTTATATCAAAAGAAACCACAAGGAAATTTCTAGGGAAAATGCTTTTTACTTTCATTAGAAACTCTATTGAATTTATTTATGGTGTAAGTGTTATTAACTCACAAAATTGAAAATCTAGAAATTAAATATTTAGCTAATGTTTATGAGGCAGTGCTTAAATTTGATACAATAGAGCAGAATGGAATACCACTTTTATGAATCCTCGGTAGAGAATCTACATCTGGCAATGTGTCAGAAAGGATTTGTAAAGATTTAATCACAGTTTTTTTTTTTTTTTAAATTTTTGACAGGTCTGACTGTGAAGGGTCTTTAGAGATCAGATTATATGGGGCTTCATTTAAGAGTTCAGTGACAAGTTACAATGCATGAAATTCATTTTAACACAGTCATTATCTTTTCAAAGGTTGACAAAGGTGGCTCTCTTATGGACAGAAGGGACAACCTGCTATGGAAGCTGTCATGGAGAGAAGCACTTAACACCGACGGTGCCACTTAACTCTTGAACTCTTAATGTGTAGAGGATCTATTTGACATGAAATTTGAACATTTCAATCCATGCTGTATAGGTCTCAAATGGTTAAGTTATACATTAATATTTTTTTAATCTAGATAATTCATCTTTATGAAAATTTCTGCAAAAGTTGCAAAATATCAATACAAACATATAACAAAATCATGATCTTGAAACATTTTGGAAGACTTTTTAATTCCTCTTTTTATATACACAAACATAATTACTGAATCATGTGTAAATTTAAAGAAAGCACAATGGTACCTCAGATCTAGGACAACTATCATCATGAACAATTCAATTTGAGCAAAAAATGCCTCAGGTGACAAACAATGTATTGATTTATGAACACTCAAGTTGGCAACAAATGATTAATGCTCAGCGACTTCTGCAAATATCATTCTTAAACTTGCCAGATTGCTTCGGAGACACAGACTTTCAGGGCTTTGACACTTGGGACATTTTTGCTACTTATGATATTATGCATTGTAAAAATAAAAAGTAGGCCCAAAGGCACAGTGTCCCGCTGCTGTACCACAGGTCAGTGGTTTGATCCCCGGGCCAGACAAGGTTGACTCAGCCTTTCATCCCTGAGTGGGTCAATAAAATGAGTACCAAGTTTGCTTGAAACTAAACACTGGGGGGCCTACAACAAGTTGACCACTTGCCCAAGGCATATGCTGATGCACTCCGGGGGCCAAGGTCAAGAAAGCAGATTTCGGGGCACTGCAGGCCGTGACTCTCTAGGGCTGTTGCGCCACTGTGTTTAGTTTAAAAATAGAGAGTTGAGGTGTGGGTAAATTACTAGAGATCATAAAGAAGAGTTCAACAGAAAAGAACAGTAACAACAAAAGATCATTGGAGAAAAAAGATCTTCAGAAGAACAGGAAAGAAGAAAAAATGCCCTAGTTTTCTTATCCATAAAATATGTACAAAATGGGGTAAGATGCAGAGTATTCACATGATAAAATATCACCCTGATAAAACAGTAGTAAGCTGCAGCATAGAAAATTTTGTTACAATGTGTTGCCAGGCTTACAAAACGTTTTTAAATGCAGATAACAACAAACACAATTTTGAATATAACAGAAACCCAGACAGCCCCAAGCAGAGTCAAATGATGCTAAGAGATATTGAAAAGATAAAAAAAGTTACACCAGTAACTTTCGCAACTGTAAGATTTATGCTAAAATTACGATTAAAGATGCAACAGTAAGATTTTTTAAAGCCCTTTTTTTAAAAAGAAAACATTAGTTACCTGATGCTTTTAAAAATCATGAATCTTTGTCCGAATAATATTTTACCCCTTTCTGTTCTTTATCATTTTCAACTCATATTGTTCACTCTCCTTCATTCAGGCATGGCAAAATTATGTTAGTTTTCATCTATTTTAGCTTTTAGATAGAAATGCTTATATTTTTTGTCAGATCTAATGCTTTCTATAGCTTTGCATTACAAAGTTGTGCATAACATACTGTTAAAAATTTATAAATAAGCAATCATTTGTGGTTGAGGAACAGAGGAACCCATTTTACATTAATTCCTACGAGAAAAATAGTTTTGGTTTATAGAGATTTTGGTTGAGGAACAGCCTTCAGAAATGAATTAGATTCAAGAACTAATGTTTCACTGTATTAGTGGAATATTGCAAAAGATAATTTATTTACCCATAAAAGTGTGGCAACAATTAAATTCATAGCATAGTAATGAGTTGCCATAGTGACGATAAGCTCGGAACAACAATTATTACATTTTTGACTTTTGAATTTGTATCATCATGATAAGCTTCTTCCCTTACTTGGATATTTTTAACTGGTAAATAAATAAATATTTAAATACTAACTGAGTCATAATTTTGAATACTTATCTCTACCTCCCAAAAAAAGATTTTGTTTTCATACCTGATATCCCCAAGATACACATATACTCTTAGTATCGTCTTCTCTTACATTAACTTGAATCAGAACAGATGCCACTGTTATAGAACAGTCAAGTGCCAATTGTACAGATCGAGTTTCAAAAAGGCTGCAAAATAGCAAATAAATAGAAAAACACATTTAGAAGGAAACCAAACACAATATGCTTTTAGATATAATACACAATGAGCTATTACCTTTTAGAAGAAAAATATTATAAATATATTATAAATTAAAAATATAATAATAATAAACTTTACTTAAATGAAAAAAAAAAATATTTACTAAAATCAAAGAAATGAAAAATTTTAAATAAGGGAAGGGATGCTCAATAATAAGGCATATATTGTTATCTACTTTTTATTAACTAAGAAAAATAAATATTATACAATGAAGAACTTTAGAATCAAATTAGTGTCAGTGACCTAACAACTTACAGCAAAATATTAACTCTTTCACATCCAAACCGCCCGACACGGCCCTACATTGAAACAACCAGAACCGCCCGAAAACGGCCGAGATTGTAATCTTCTTTTCTTCCCTCCCCCTAAGGTATGCAATAGCAGGTGCACTTTCCCCAAATGCATTGTATCAGTTTACAGCAGAGAGCTTGTCCTAAGAGGTTTTTTTATCTTTTGGTTGATCGTGACATTTCGTTGTTGATTCTTTTGTGGTACACTGTGCTTTTAAGCTTTAAACAGCAATAAAAGAGCAGTTTAAAAATTTAAGGATTATATTTATTTTTAAACAATTTATTCCTTCCTATAAAAATAACGAAAATAAACAAAATCTCAGTCGTGATCATAACAAAGTCGGAAAGGCTTGTTGATCTGACCTTCAGAATAGTTTTATAAAGAACGGGGCCAAAGGCTAATGGAATCTTTTTTAGAAAGTACAAAGGATGTCATTGGAAATCTTCACACCTATTTTCTGCATTAATGGACGGGGAGGGGAGGAAATTGCTGTGAAACTGGAAAACTATTTCGAGCGGTTCGGGTATTTTGACGATACAGCTTAGCGAAGGGTATGGATTTCAAAGAGTTAAAAAAAGGAGTAGTGATATTTTTTACTGCAGCGAAAATAAATTATATAAAAGTACATATTGCACATAAAATACAGAGAATGTTTACCCATTTTTGTAACGATTTTGATTTTCTCCATAAATTTAAATATTAATTTTAAAATACAAACGTGACTGGCATCCAATTGTAATATAAAGTTTAATTATCATCTGCACTATTAAAAATATTCTCTTCTTAATAATGTCATTGAAAAATAAACAATGGATCGAAGGCTATACTTTTGTACTGTCCGAAGAGAAATGCTCTTATTCGATTATTAAAAACAGATGTGAAAAGTATGGTATTAATAAATGACATAATTAATATTAAAGGAAAGAAAAGTCAAAGTTTACATCCGACTGGTAGAAACACAAAAAATGCATACCCAACAAAGGTATGTAAAGCTCAAGTCGCATCTCATGTTTTGAAGGAAAACCCAGATCCCCAAAGAGCTAATGCAAAATCTTTAAATATTTTTGTAGGAATTGTGAACAAAATTATAAATCTAATGGGGGGGGGGAAATAGCATCCTTACCTAGCATCGAAACACGTTTCTCGACATATGACTATGTTCAGATTTCAGTATGAAAACTATTTGGTGGGTGAAAAATGGTAATATATAGTTACAATTGATGAGGCTTAGGTATATTTATCTGATTACAACAGAAAAAGATTGATTTACTAGCAAAAAAGAGGAGAAAAAGACTTAATATATTGGTTTAGAGACAAGAAGGAAAATTTTTCTAAAGGCTTTATGGTTATTACTGGATTCTCTTATACTGGAAAACCTAAAATAAGGAAAATAGAAAAAATGTCAAAATTAATTTGGATTACTATCAGAAATATGTTTTAACATCTATTTTTAAAGAAGAAATTCCATCTCTTTATCCAAACAATCTTCATTATATTAAGTTCCATCGCAGTAAGGCTCCAAGACATACCTCTAAATCCACTGCTTTATTTTTTGAAAAAATGAGAAATGAAACCGGAATTGAAGCTACTTCCTTTAAATGCATCCCACCCAAGTCCCCTAACGTGCCTCCTATGGATTACTGGGCATGTGGACTTTTGTTTATATATAAATTTTTGCAAAATCATAACAAAAATGTGTGATCACCCTCTGTATCTATCAGAAATATATTCATATTATATACTCAGTAAAAAATTATAACTTTGACAATTATGGAGTAGCAAACCTTTTAGCTTGCTGCAGTTCTTAAAAACTAGAAATAGCCAATAACAGCATATTTTAATATGAGCAGTGGATCTTATATTAGTATAAATATTAGATCTTATATAGTATAAAATTTAAATCTTGAGATAACATAATAAAAACCCAGCAATTTTCAATTTAATTAACATAGCATCTTCAGATTAGTCAGTACAGTCAAAAGTCGTTAATTCGGACCTCAAAGCTACAAACTTTCTGCGCATTTGTCGCGTTGACGCATGTATGTAAGACCTTTACGGCTGTGAATATGCATGTGCGCGTACACAAAATATGTTTACGAATGCGCGTTTAATGTATAACGAACAGTATAAGGTAAGCTAAAAATTATCTAATTCAGTTAATGTTGCAGATTGCGTTGTCCTTAATCTTCGAATTGGATTCGGCTTATTATTTTTTGCAGAATGTCAGAGCAATTTTATAAAAGTAAGCTTGAACTTTCGATTATGTCAAATAGAATTTCTGATATATATTTACTAATATGGGAATATTTCAGGGAAGATGTTTTTATTTTATTTGGCTTATAATTCCTTACTAAATGTAGTATTTCATCTCGATGTACTCCGTCTTTGATATGATTTAAATCAAATTCCTCGTCATAATAATTCGCTTCGGATAGCGAAAAAAGTGACAGAGGTTATTGAAGACGAAAAAATTTCGATTGACAAATTAGTCGGTATTCTCGACACAGCAATTGACTTGAACAGCGGAACTTTGTAACTGAAAAAGAAATTATGTCTGTTTATAGAATTAAAGAGAATGTATTATCACATAAAAATGAAGCAACTTACACAACTTACTCATTGAAAGAAATGTTTAATAAAGTAAACAAATAATATTAAGCTTTTTTTTTTTTTTTTTGTAAATTTTGATACCCTTATAGATCAGTTTGTTCTTATATTTCATAAATTACGGTTTCTATTTTTAATTTTTTTAATTTGCATGCCATTTATCAGATTTAAACTGATGATCTATAATCCGGAAAAATCGATAATCCAGAATCGCCGAAGTCCCGACGAGTCCGGATTAACGACTTTTGACTGTATTACTTAAAATTAATAATACCAGTAACAGAAAAATTATACTTTAAAAAATGCAGTTGTCTGACACTGGCCTTAGATACAAGACCTCAGTTAGACATTTTTTATGCACAATATTTTCCAAAGTTAAAAAGGGAAAATATTGAAAAACAAAAATTTAAAGACAATTAACCTCTCAAAAATTCCACGAATATCCATATAAAGAACATTTTATATTTTAACAATAACATTTCCTGAATGAAACTCAATGAAAATCTGTTCACTGTATTTGCAACTTTTTGAAGAAATGAAAAAGAACTTCAATTTGTTATAACATTTGAATATTCAGTTGTTTGTTCATTTCTAATTGTTCTATTATGAAATATAGTGAACTTTAAGATATTTTGTATACCATATATTATTACTACATTATCACCACATCTGTTCATTATATACTATGTCACTATATACTACTAATCAAAATTTACGTATATATTATTTCAAATGTTTATGTATATACTACTAAATTGTTACCAAATAGCTATATTTAACTCCCATTACAAAATTTGTACTACCAACATTCTGAAAACGACTCCAAAGTTTGTAATTGCAAAGGCACCGATTGTAAACATTTATTTGTCTATTACATTCAAAATTATCGGGTCAGTCCATAAGTTTGTGCGCATTAAGAGTATGCGTGGAATTTATTATCATGCAATTACTAAAACAATACAATTTTGAACCCGTTGAAACCTGTCATCATTTGACTAACATATTATTCAGTTTATCACCAACTTTTGTAAATATCAAACACAGTTTAGTACCCATAGAAGATGAATATAGATAATCAGTACAAACGTGCTGTGGAATATTTTTTATTTTCGTGCGGTGAATCTGCCAGGTTTGCAGCAATAAAAATTAATAGTGCACATGGTGAACATAGTATTAGTGTAAGGACTGCCCTGAAATGATTTAAAAAATTGAAAGTTGGAAAAAGCAGCATTGATGATGAACCTCGTTCAGGAAGTTTGGAACTGTTGAAACCAAATCAAACGATTAATTCAGAAGTTTATAGTGAATAACTTTGCCGTCTAAACTTAGAATTTATCAAAAAAATGCCCACAATTGGTGAATATCAAGGAAGTGTTGTTTCATCATGATAACGCTAGACCACATACGGCTCGAACAACAATGCAAAAAATTAGTGAATTTAATTTGGAGCTTTTGCCACATCCTGCTTATTCCCCAGATATAGCCCCAAGTGATTTTCACTTATTTCATGCCTTACAAAAATTTTTTACTGGGAAAAAAATTAAATTCTAAACAGAATGTACACAATGAACTTTCAAGTTTTTTTGCATCAAAACCAATCTTTCTACAGCAATGGCATAAAAAAGCTGCCTGTAAGATGGCGAGACATTGTAGATAATGGAGGAAAATATATAATTTATTAAAATGTTAAATTCTGTTTTTTTATATTATTTAAAAAATTACCAAAAATGTGCATGAATTTATGGACTAATGCAATAATAAATATGGACGTGTAATAGAGGTATATCCCGATTTACCTATAGAAAACATTGGATTATTACATTTCAACCTGTACCTGTTCGTTCATTTCATTATAACACTATTCTGCTACATTCTTTTTTTACTTGCCTGAATTGTTTAATAAAAAAGAAAACATACATAAATATCATACATAAATTGAAAATAACAATGAAATTTTGAAGAAAAAAATGAGCATGTCTACATATTACTGAATGTTAAATAAATATCTGAGTTTAAATAATCAAAGGAAACTAACATATGTAATCTCAAAGAATTAAAACCCATACTTTTTAACTTTAGAATATATGACATCAGTCAGCCTCGATGCAGGAACTCCAGCAGGATCGTCGATGTGAATGGTAGATGTGAAACGGATTTGATGAGGCGTTAAACCAAGTTCACACATAGCATCATCAGGTTCCATCAGACGAATTTTCTGCAAGTAATTAAAAAACGTCCTCTTACATATTAGACCTTACTGATATGAAACAAATTTATGACACATCAATGTCTGAATTTCTTTACTACTATCTTTATTATTTTAGTCTCTATTTTCATAAACTTATATTTTTTAAGATGACATCTGTATTAATAAAGTAAGGAAGCAGGATATCTTATAAGCTAATAATGCCAAGCAACAAAAAAAGCCAGTCATGCCGCTCGGAGGATTAAATACGACCTTCAGAATAGAGTGTTCTGGATTATAAATAATGAACACTATGTGGTAAAGCATGGCTGTTTTGCATGCCCACCTAAACTACCATGCATGCACAAAACTACTCAAGTTCTCAATGGAAATTTTTATCAAGAAGCAATGAACTGTCATATAGTCAATTACTCAATGATCTTCTAATGTGAAATACTGGAAAAGGATAGAAAGTTAAGACACTTTGCTGCTCATTTCTTAGAAGATGACAATTTTGTAACTTTGCTGCACTGCTAAAGTATGAGTGGACATTGCATGAAAAGAATGTAGTACATAAATAGTACATAAAAATGTAGTACATAAATATTGTAAATAGTGAACGTAAATTGTGTTTATATCCTTTTTTTTCACTTCTTTTCATTTTGTACTTTATCTGTACCCTGTATTATCTGCACTTTGCTAACAAAATGATGAGAAATTTTCAAAGTTCTGCATCCCACGACCCTAGAGGACCAATAAATAAGCTTTTGCAACAAGCATTTCGGATTGGCTCTCACAGTCACATGACCACAACTCCTGCTCAACTATTTCGACTACTACAGGATCAATGAAAACCAATGACTATGCTTATTTGGCACAGTTCTGGATTGGGTTATAAAGCCACATGACCACTTATTTTTTGACAGACGAGATTTGAACCTTTAAGAAAACACAGCCTATGTTTTGCCTACCAACTCATCATCACTTCAGAGTGTTTGCTATACGCAACAAAAAAGGTTACTACTCTCTTCTCTACTTCTATCACCACTCCTGTACCCTTGTGGATTTTAACTATATTATGAAAGTTCCAAAGTTGTGATCTGATCAATGGCGGTACATCAGCAGAGATGGTAACCAGCCTTGAGTCAGTATTGGTATTTGGTACAAATATGATCTTTTGAAACTAATTCATTACCCTTTTATCCAGCGATAATATTCTTAAGAAATCAGGCATACGCTTATAAATTATTTACAAATATATATGTAAAAAAAAGAGTTTCAGATTATAAGTTACGTCCAAAGGGGCGTTTGTTTTAACATTTTGTGTATTACCTTTATTTATTAAATAGCGTGTTCTTCGCACTTAAACCATAAAACTCAGTTCAACAGCAATATTGCAAAGTAATTTTTAAATGAGCCTATCTTTAGAATTTCCGATACACAGATAATTTTTTTTTTTTTTAACAGTGTTGCCATTGCTCCCTTTGAAATCCTTAAGTTTGTTAATAAAAAATTCGTTAAAGTTTTACAAAATATGAAATCGATAATAAAACAAATTTCAAATTTGGGCTTCCACATGCGCATATTTGCAATAGGATTATGTCATTCAAAATTCAATGGCTCTATGTACCACTGCTTTATAACAATGCGGGAAACATTTTTATGTAGATTCTACATTTTAAATTTCTTTTAATATAACACAGGGCGAAGATATCGTGTGGCAACAATTCGTAAAGTGATTCGCCATTTTTAGTGAATCGATGAAAAATGAGAAAACAAAATTAATAGCCCTTCTGGCCTAAGGCCCTTCGGGCTAATAATCTGGTTTTTAAGCCTAGTGAAAACGTAATTTATGAGTTTTTTTGGTATATATTAGGCATAAATATGGTATGTTACATGCCGAAATTCCCCCATTCGCAGTAGGATTATGTCATTTAAAATTGGATGGCTGTAGGTACCGTTGTTTCATCACAATGCAAGAATACCTACATTTATGCAGCTTCTTCATTATTTAATTTCTTCAAATATAATACAGGGCGATAATATTGGGTGGCAACAGTTTGAAAAGTGAAACAGACATTCAGAGTGATTTGACGCAAAACAAAAACCATAGTACCTCAGGGACAAAGCCCCTTTGGATTAAATAATTTTGTTGGTACATCTCTAGAAGTTAGTAGAGAGTTACTTAGTCGGCTAGACAAGATGAAACCAATCACTCTTTTAGTCATGACTGGGATGGTTGTATGAGAGATATAGCTTGAAGCTATAGGGTAATATATGAAATGACAGATGTCCCGGAGTTCTACAAGGATGTGACAAGTTCAACATGTTATTTATTCTAGAACACTCTTGAAACATCTTTTTAATTACATCTTAATCTTTTAAAACATATCCCTGACTGGTGACACAATGGATGCAAACTGCACCCCAGAATTTATAAAATATGCTTTCACATTTTTAAACAACAGAAAAAAAGTATAGCGAAGTGAGCGACACAGCTTACTCAGGCTGCAGCAGGTGAAACATATTAAGCAGTTGGATTTATTTATAATCTCAGTTCCTCTGTTTGAGTTCTGGACAGCAGCTAGGCAAAGTTTACACCAATGCAGAGAAATTGCAGGGAAAGAGTGATGTCAATGACACAGCACAGATGCACTAAAGGGGGTTGTATTAGGATTAAAATTAGGACTTAAATTGCTTGTTAGCAATTTGTTCCAATTAAGCTTAATTTGGTAATAAATTTCTGTTATATTTTTATATATGCAATATGTGTACTTGTGAAGTACACAGGCATACAAATGCACATACGATACAAATGAACACAAAATTTTGCTGAGAAAAAATAAACAACATTATAAAAAGAAGAATCATTTTTGCATTCTATTATACCACCAACATTGCTTTATTTATGTACTTACATTATTGTTCATTACCAGCATACCATGAATAATATTCTTACGTTTTACACCAGCAATACTACCTGAAGTGAAAAAAATTCAGCATCAATAATCAAAAACATCATACAATTAATCAAAACTGAAAGTACAAATATATTTAAGTATTATATGATAAAAATATATGACAGGTTCTACGCTTTCCCCAAAGTCCACAAAATTTGAATTCTGTTGTTGCTTATGCTCACTTCTTTGACACAGTCAGCCCAAACTCACGAAATTCCTCGTTGCAAGGAGCACTAGATTACGTCTTCCGTTGGCAAAAGCCTCGAGCACCATTCAGGTGACAGTGCGATTTAGCTCAGTTCCGCCCCCGATTTTGATGGAGAGCACCCGAGAAGGAGGGGGAAATCAGATTGTCTCCCACTCCTCTCCCCTTCCAGCAAAACCGCATAAGAACTTTCGGCTCGCCACATATTTAGAGTGCTGCCATGCCACACAGACAGTTTACATTTACAAACATGCATGCCTTCTCTGGGATTCGAACTCGGGCCTTTCGGCACGGCTCTCTGTGATGCTGACCACCATACTGATCGGGCAGCTGCAATTCCATTTTGACCTATAGTTTCCCACTTAAGAATAGTATCATATCCTTTGGCCAAATATTTAGTTTCAAAAATTTCTCCTTTACTTACTAAAATCTCTTTAAGTCAAATACACTTTGTTTTCCAAAATGAATATTATTACCAAATTGAGAGACTGGCTATGGGTCTAATAGTCAGTCCCCAGTCCTGTAATTGCTGACATTTACATGCACTACTTTGAGGTCAAATTATTTGAGAAACTTTCTTTTCACCTCTGGATTTGCTACGTAGACGACACTTTCAAGCGTTTTGATGGTAATAAAGAAGATTTATCCCAGATTTTATCTATTATGAATTCGAATGATCCAGCCACCCAGTTCACTTTTGAAATTGAATGTGACAATTCCCTTCCCTTCCTTAATATTCTTGTAATTAGCAATTAATCTGATTTCAAAACAATTGTTTACTGTAAACCCTCTTCTGCTTGTTTACTGCCCTATGCTATGTCACAGCTATGGAAAAAGGGAATCATAAACTTCATTTCCAGTGATATATGATACAAACTGATAATGTATTTGCATAAAAAATCTGTATTGCACACTGTAATTATCGACAGCAGCTTAATTTATACCCCCCCAATACTGTTACTCATGAACATATAATTACGTACAAAAACATACATATAGACATCATATATAAAACTATAGTATTAAGTAAAATGTTAAAAATGAATTTAGTAAAATGCATTCGGTACTTTTCCGTTTTGCCAGCGCAAACGATAAAGTCGCCAATAATGGTACAACCGATGGCAAACGGAATATCTTCGCTGGCAACCTTGTACGCTTCATTTTCAAAACAAGTTGCAGCCATTCTTTCAATACTGGCATACAATTACATAGAATTTTTGCGATGGTTCAATTTTATGCCCTAAGACCATTCCCGGTATTAAGTCAATTAGGATTCAATCACCACCGCTCATCGGAAGAGAAAATATAAAAAGAAAATTAAAGGTTTAAATTCATCCCTCTAATGAGAATGCACTAGCGAGTAAAGCAGTGCGGTTTTAATAATTTCCGAGTAAGCTATTCGTACGAATGAAATAATTCTTGCATTAAACTAACTTTATTCCAAATCAAGATTTAACTTGAATTAATGTAAATCATTATGGGAGAATTAGATTTTGTAGCGTTTTACGTGAGATGTGATCATTGGGGGTCACTGAAAAACTGGAATCGGGGTTGAACCAGAAAGCATAGTCTTCTTAAAATTTCTTTTTCCGATTTTTGTCTTTTTATTGGCTTTTTAAAAAATTTAAACCATATTAAAATTTTATGCCTTCAAAATAACAAATTCTTAGAACTAACATTAACATTTTTTATGTGTATACTGTATGTTGTCGCCAACAAAGTCTTCTTGGCGAGATTTGCGCCGGCGAAACGGAAAAGTACCATGCATTCACATAATTCAGTGATACAGTACAAAGTTCGTAATCAGGACGTCCATTATCCAGAATGATCTATGTTCCGGACCTTAAAGCCACAAACTTCTTTACGCATGTGCGTAGAGAATGCACATACATTATGCATGCGGGCATTGAAAGAAATGTTTAATAGAGTAAACAAATTAATATTTTCTCCTTGGAATGGAGAGAATGCATCCATATTTAAATAACAAAAAAGAAAGTTCGTCGCCCATGCGTACGAGCACATGGTGCCGAAGGAAAGCCAAGCTTCACAAAGTAAAAGAATAATAAATATTAAGCTTTTTTTTTTTTTTTTTTTTTGTAAAATTTGATACCTTTAATCATAATTGCTCTTTATTTCATAAATTACGATTTCATATTTTTAATTGTATAATTTCTGTCATCTTACAGATTTAAATTGATGATCTATAATCCGGAAAAAACCCTATTAAGGAATCGCCGAAGTCCCGACGAGTCCGGATTACGGATTTTGTACTATATAAGACTAAAAGACAGAATTTGAACTCAAGAGCACAGTTATTAAAACACAGAAATATAGCTCACACGATTATGAATACACAAGACCGCACAATTTAATATTGTTTAAATGGCTGGTCTCAGACCCCAAATTCTAGTTTATGAAATCAATGAAGATTCATATAATACGTCCTAGCAAAAGCATACAAAATTGAAATTTTTTTATAGATTACAAGTAGAAGAAAAGCATCAATGATCAATGATAAATATGTTTTCTTTCTAAAACCTGTGGGCCGCATGTGGCCCCAAAAGCCATTTTGTGTGGCCCACAAAGACATTTCAATTACGTATTTGGTGCAATGATTTTATTTATTTGAAGTCCGAGTTTATATTACTTTCATTTCCATTAAAAACTAACATGAATAATGCTCCAGAAAAATCTATAAACAGAGCTAATTAATTTAAAATGTGATATAATACCTTATTCAAAAATCTGATGACTTTATTTACTTTTATTCATACTTGTCAAAAAATAATTAGTCAAGAACTTTTGCATTAAGAATACATGAACAGCTTTCCTTCACAGTTGAAGATTAATAAGAAAAAACCCAATTGACTGATAAACATCTACTATTCATGATAAAAATAATTCTTAGTAATTTCTCCCCAAGGCTACAAATTTTATCAGTCTCCAAACGTCAACAAGTGTGAAGCTCTAATAAGAAATAAAGTGTTTATAATTACTTACATACAAACATATGTATTTTTATTTATGCGTTGAAGAAAAATTTGATAAATAAGAGAAAGAGACTATGTTGTTATGAAGTTTCATTCCACTTGGTAAACTTCCTCTGAAAACTTAGAAAGTTTTCATAACTTGTTTATTTTTAGTTTAAATTAAAGTCAATTAATTATTTAATGATAAATTACATGTTAGAATTATTTGAAAGATATGTAAGTCTAAAAACTTAATATTTAACTGTTAATAGTTTTGAATTACAAAATGTAATCAACAAAAATGTCTTGCAAGTAACAAAATTCAGGTTTCAGACAGAAAATAAATATAAATTTGAAATTGTTTCCTTCGCAGTATTATTAATATTGTTGTTAGAATATTTTTTGCTTTGTTAATAACATTTTTCATTTTATCCAAAAAATATTCTGGGCTGTCAGAGAGTGTATTCGGCCTATAATTTGAGTTGGAGACTGCAGGCCTAAAGGTTCAAATGGAAAAAAAAAAAAAA